TGTAAGTCAGTGTATTTGTATCTATAGCTACACATGAGCATGCGTCTTTTTTATGGTATGCAAATGCATGTAGAGAGAACGGTGCATCATTTATCGCCATAACAGGAACAGCACATAACATGCTTTACCATGGCTGCTCTACACTTGCCATGGCTGCTGTAGTTGGTCGTTGTCATACACACCCAACATGCCCTTCTAGTAAGTCTCACAGTAGTCGCCCTCTAGACAGCCTTTTCGAACAGAGCCCTTCTCGTACCACAAGAGCCAAGGCCCTTCGAGTGCCTCGGCTATTGTGTTGTGGATGTGCCGGGTTTCGCAATGCGTGGAGTCTGGGAATTTTAGGGTTTCGCTAGAAAACTATCTACAGCCTGCAGGCCAAGAACAGCAGTCGTAACAATCGCAAGAATACAAGCAGAGGTGCTTGTTCAGTCTTGGTCTGTACGGGTTCACGAGCGACATGGCTCAGCCTTGCAATCTGTTTTTGTGCGAAAGGTGTAGGCCCATGACAATCCAAGTCCGCGAGGCTTAGGCATGAGATACACATACACACGCTGGCTGCACATGGTCCGCGAACCTAGCATCGAAGCCAAGAAACAAATCATGTGCTATGCAGTGCAACGGGCCACCCTTCAGAAGCTCTAGAATCAGGGTTTAGAGGCGCCGGTTGTGCAAGGTGCTCGAAGTGACGCAGGAAAGCGCGGGAAGGGGCGTTGAAGCTGTCACCCTGTCGACTGTTGCGAAGCTCGCGGATGCAGTGCGCACTTGTCTCACGTACCGACACAATTCCTTGCAGATCATATGACTTGTGCCTCCACGCTCGAGATACTTGAAAGCCTAGCATAATGTTTCTATAGTATACCATAATAATGTGTCTAAAGCCGTTCAGATTTTGATACACTAAGGCCAAGTCGGCAAGATTCACGATCTGTTCACAGATGCTTGGCTGGGGGAAGAGATCTGATGAGATGCTGCCTGTTGCAAGACCGGTGCTCCTGGATCCATAAGGGTTACGGCCAGTTGCAATAAGGCTTCCTTGAAAGGGTCCATAAGGATGCTAGAAGTTTCAGTTTAGGGTTTAAGATTGGTTTGGCGGATTTTCTGTTCCGCGTTTTCGCATTAAGACGTGTATTCGCTCGTCTTCACGAAGCCCCCAGAATCCTTGCTAGGTAGGCAGGAAGGTGCGTATGAAGTGTCGCCAACCCTAAGGGTTTCGGGTTTAGGGTTGGGTTTAGTGTTAGGGTTTATAGGGTTTCCTAAGGCTCCCTGTGCCAATACGAATATACTTTAACCCTATGTCAGCTTTTGCATCAGTAACAGCATGTGCCGGAAACCGTAAACCCTAAACCCTAAACCGTTGTGTTTCGACACCCGAGGAGGAATTCCAGGAACCTGCAGGCAAGCCCGTCTTGAACTTGGAGGAGCCGGGAGAGTCGTTCTTCGGGGAGTGACCTAGGGGCCTAAACAATCACCAACACTATTTTGGGGGGGTTCCATACTATAAAATGCAGTCTAATACACCTTAAAGCCTTATTCTAATGATGAAGGCGCTTATTGGGCCTATCGTAGAGTCGTAGATATGAAAGGTCTTGGGCCTGGGTTTAAGATGTGCTTCGGAGATGTTCTTGATGGCCGATCGAGGCAATGGCAGGTAAGGGAACTCCGGACCAACCCTTTCTTCTACCCGTACTACAAGGGCCTTTTTCATTAATTACCAATGCTGCTTTGGGGGTTCCTTGTTTTTTGTGCTATAGTATAACATACCCTCAAAACCTTGTGCTAATAATTAAGGCCCCTATAGTAGGCTTTGAGACGCAATGGACATGCCGCTTTGCAGGAGGCGCTTTTCGAACCCCGTGTGACCGTACCCGAACCACCGAGGCCAGCGTAGAATTCGAGCCTTGGGGCGGAGAACTAGGGTTTAGGGTTTAGGAGTTTAGGCAAAAAGGGAGGGTTTAGGGATTACAGTATAAGTTCTTCGGCGGAGCATGGACATAAGCGTGTTTGCCTTGAAGTTCGGGGTTCTAACTCCATAACGCTGCCCATGTCCTGGGGGCGGTATACACGAGAAAACATGCTCAAGAATGGAAAACCGCCTGAAGGGCTGATAGACCCTCTGGATGCAACGGGCAGAAAGCGAGAGAGAGAGAGAGAGAGATCGCGAATGGAACTCCGAGTGTTCTAGCAGCGCACGATCCCAAAATGCAGGGGTGGTAAGCTATCCTGAGCCTTGGATTTGGCCTTGCTTCCTGCATTTCAAGCGGCAGCTTGAGGGAATGCTTTAGTCAAAAGTGTGTTGGGGTTGCCTAGTCTTGCCTCTGTGAAACCGAGAGCTTGTGGATTGAACTCATGGAATGAAAGCTTGTAGCATAGTCCGATCCAGAAGAACATTGCCGTCACCATGTGATTCTTCATCTTCACCGTACCCCAAAACCTAAACCCTAAACCTCGCCTGGCTTGTCCGAGTTGTGAGAGCGTAAACCCTAAACCCTAAAGTCAGGCTCGCCCAAGCTAAGTGGGAGGGAAAAAAGGTGTCAGCTTCCCTGAACTTCATCGTCCCGTGCAGAAGAGTTCCCAACCTGTCCTCAGGGCCCCACTGGCCCCGATTGGGCCAAGTGAGCCGCAGGCAAGGGGACCCTGAAGGGTGTTTAAGGGTTTGGGTTTAGGGTTGTTGAAGTCTTAAGTGTAGTTAGGTTCTAGGGTTTAGGGTTATTGACATTCCAGAAACATGGTTGGCGCGAGCCCGGAGGCTGCCAGCTTAAAGCTGTGGGCTTCGGGAGTGCCTCTTGTTTCTGTCCTGGTTGAGTCGCTGCAAACCAGATGCAAAAGGGTTATGGACAGTTATTGAAGTCTTTAAGTTTAATTGGTGTGTAAACCAAGCCATGGAAGATAGGCTTCGGGCTTGGCAGGTGCGCATCATCTAACCGCTGAGGCAATGGGTTCTTTGCGGGATATGTACAGCAATGTGGTGGCCTTAATACTTATCTCTACTATTTTGGGGGGTTCCTTATTTGTAATTATAGTATATGTAAGATACCCCAAAACTCTGTTGGCCCCTTCGTTATAGAGCCATTATAGAACCCTTAACCCTTATATAGAACCCTTTAGAAGGAACCCTATTCTAACAATGAAGGCCCCTACATTATATCAAGTCGTGAGGTCAGAAGGGCTCCGAGGCTTCTGAGCTTTTCGGAGAATTTTTTTGGGGAGCGGGATGGAGGAGGGGGGAGGTGCTTTGGTGTAGGAGTGCTTAGTCATGAGAGTTGTAGTCTTCAGACTTTTTCGATTGGCGGTTTGGGAGTCTTTAGACGGAGGAGGCTTGCTTCTCAAGGACTGCAAGACCCGAATTTCTAATTTGGATCAGGTTGCAGAGGGGTTCCGCATGTTGATTTGTAGATGCCTCGGGAAGGGCATTCCTCTTTGGGGCTCTTCCTCCGTGGCATTCCACTTGTACTGAAGACTCTGCTGCATTCACGATGCAAGTGCCAGGGTTCATAGTCGGCTACCGACGCGAAGCTCACGTATCGTAAAGTCTCACCTATAGCCTATGGGTCGGACAGCAAGGCTTTAACCAGCATGCTGTCGTACAGAATTTCATCGCCTGAGCTGTTTCATGTACAAGAACACAAAGTGGGGGTTTCCGAAAATAGGGGACCCTAAAATAGTACCCTAAATAGTAGGATCCTTTTTTATAAGGACCCCAAAATAAGGTACCCTAACTTTCGGAAAGTCCCAAGTATCGGCTTCTGTTTTCTCTGGTGAGGACTTTGCTGAAACTACGATCCGCCCCACCTCGGTGCCGAGACGCTTGGTCGCACTCGGTAGATCGGGAATCCGTAGCGGGAACCGGCCGACCTGAGACCCTGAACCTTAGCTGGGCTTAGCTCAGGTTCCGGTCCCCCACTGGGAGACTTAGAGGGATTGAGACCTACGATTCTAGCATGTCTGCCTGCAGCCCCAACATTTTCTGTAGGTTCTTGTTTATCTTGGTTTGAATCTTGTCCTTTGCTTACATCCGCTACAGGCAGCGAGGTCTTTCTACTGTGGTACAGTGGTAGTAATATGCTACTCCACTGATGCATCCCATTCCAATGGTTCGCCGGTTGTGGCGGGACTGGTCTTAGATTTGTGGTTTTAGCTTTTGTTGACTGCTGTACCGCAACGGGATGTTGATTTCTGTGTCACGCCGACTTCGCACCATGAACCTCGCCTGGCTAGTCCGAGTTGTGAGAGCATAACATTTCCAACCAACGCCAAGACTGCGCAATCCAAAAAATCCACCAAAGCAGTCTGCGACACATGCCAGGCTCGTTTAATTGAGGAAGCGAAATCATCCGACAGTAAGGGTTTGCGGATTTAGGGCTTTAGGCGTTAGCATGCCATACACTTTAGAGCCCTTATAAATAGCATGGTATAGGATGTAGAAGGTATCTTTGGACGTCCTCCTTTCCATGCCCCGGTCCCCAAATCTGCGAGCGTAAAAGCCTCCTGCCCTGATTTCCGGTAATACCTCCTATTACGCATATTACGCTGCTCGTCTGGTTTCTGTTACTCCGGGCGCGAGTTCCTGTCACACGTGTGCGAAATCGGTTTCCGTTACTTCCAAAAACGATTCATGTTACTCCCCGCGCCCGACCGGAGATGCAGAAGCACGGATATAGTGGCCTAAATAATGATCATTCCTTAGGGCTCCTTACTATGTACCTCAAAACCCTATTCTAGTCGTTTTACATGGCTTGCGTCCTGGAGTGCCAGGCTTCTGAGTTTCTCCGAGGTGTCTCACCGCTCTAGACCGTAATCCCCGAAAGACCCTAAGGCCCTTCCTTAAGCTACCAAAACCTACTTTTTTGTAGCGTCCCTTTAACTTCTATATTAGGGTCAAAAAAAAGAACCTACAAAATTGTAGCGTCCCTTTAGCTTCTATATTAGGGTTAAAAATAAGAACCTACAAGAAGTAGGTTATGGTAGCTTAAGGAAGGGTGGGATGAGATAGAGATCCCGAGGTTCCTACGCTTACAGCGGCCGGTACTCCCCTGCCCATGGCGGCGCAGGGAGACGCTGTGGGGAGCCGTACAGCGACAGCTTCTCAGACCTCTACCCCGACACGTACCCAGAGCGGTATCTGGGTCCTTGTTGGATACAATTTTACATTTTTGTTATAATAAAACCCTAATAAGGATGAAAAATGATGATTTTTTCATATGGCCTCAACATGGAACCAGGTATGTGGGGAGATACCAAGATCGTTACACCGAGCCCTACCCCGAGCGAGAGGGGGGTCCCTATGCGGAGCAATACCCGATGCCCTTACCAGAGCGGTACAGCAAAAGGTATGCCGACCCAGACCAGGAGCAGCAGTTCCGAGATTCCTACCGGCCCTATGACAGACCATATGACCGGCAGTATGAGAAGTTTCCAGAGCGGTATGGAAGGCAGTATCCCGAGCGTCCCGTTGAGTATCCGGAGCCCTGTGGGGAGCGGTACAATGCCGGGACCTCAGAGGAGGGTCGGCGATCACAAAGACAGGGTCTGCAAAGCTGATCGTTGCTGTTGGCTTGATTGTTTCCCCGGCTCTGTTACTCTCTCTGTCTCTCGCTCTCTCTGTCTCTCTCTCTCTCTCTCTCTCTCTCTCTCTCTCTCTCTCTCGCGAACTGTGCTACTCAGTCAGTGATTCCAGTCCACAGTCACCAAGCAGTAGGCTGATAATTCGAAAGGCCCCTATGTTTCAGTGACCTACGGGATTCATCAGACGGAGATTGAGCTGACAGAGGCGTTTTGTGCCATGTTTCTGGGAATAGGTCCCTTGCCTTTGCACGGTCGATGCTGCCAAGGCCTATCAATCGAGCTCCCTTTTTACCGACCCGCGAAACTCGCGACCAGAGATGCCACCTCTGCCGCAGCAGACTCTTGTCGGTTGGCGATTAGGGAAGAATCCTCAACCTTGGCGGAATTCTTCGCAACCCTAAACCCCTAACCGTCTCAGGGCATGATCTCCTCTAGGCTGCCAGTCCGCAGCTTCGTAGATATCTCATGTCATAGCAGCGAAGATTTATTGCAGCATTTCTTTTGTCACCGTAGCTTCCTGCCGGACTCCCTACGTAGGTGATATTGAGATGTAAGTGTGGATGGTTGCGTTGAGTCGCTGGTTTTCAACACCTTAGCACTTGTCGCGATGCTGGTCATCTTAATGATGCTACTCTTCTTGTGTTTCACCGTTGTCATGCCAGCAACAGCATCAGCCGCTGTAGATATAATGCCTATCAGGCCTATCAGACCACTTCCCATGACACCCCCAGCAACACCAGCACCGACACTACCGACCAGCAACAGCACCTCACCAGTACCGGCACGACAGCACAAGCGCTGCAGCAGTACCAGCACCACAGCACCAGAACCAGCACCGGCAACACAGTAGTAGCTCAGCAACGACTTGCAGCAAAAAGGAAAAAGGCACAAGCGCTACACAGAGCCAGGTGAGCCAACACATCTAAGTCCTCTCTGAATTATCGTAGGTACAAACAAAGACGAAACGCTGTACTTCGTTCCCAGCAACAAACACAATATAGCACCAACCATAGCAGTCTAGCTTTGCATCATCCGACTAACGCAGCATCTACTCTACATCCTAGCGACGAGAATTTGAGTACCGGAGGACTCACGATCCAAAGAATGATGGTAGCAACGGCATGGTTGATTCGTCTGCGAGTGCAGCTAAGAGGTCCAAGTGGTCCGGAAACTAGGGCCGACCAAACAAGGCATATCAGTCAGTTGTACCTCAGCTTGCCTGCTAATCCGTCACGAAATCGCAAAAAATTCCCAAGCCCTAAACCCTAGATCCCCTGATTCCGGCACACTCTGCTCCAGGATGCCTCCACCGCCCCCTTCGGTGCAAACGCCTCCCCCGCCGTTGCCACCGCCACCCCCGGCGCCCAAGAAGAGCCGCTCAAGGGAGGCTTGAGTCGGGAGTTTAGGGTTTCAGACTGCTTGCAGGATTTCGGTTCCAGGGGTGCTTCCCCGAAGGTTTGGCCCAAGTCAGGGCATCCGGGGTTCACAGTCGCGCAGATGCCACTGGTCGCACGAGGGGGACACTGCAGAATATCAATTGCTTTGGAAGGCTTGCAGTTCCGGGTCGTTTGCTGCAGCCCCGATTTGCAGTGACAATAAGTCATAATAAGTCAAAGCCCCAGTTCTCCTGTATGTGGCGGTCAGTCTTTGTTGGCGGACTGCCAACAGCCACATACTTGCATCAGGCCACTCGAATAGAATCTGTGCTTGGCTGTTGCAGTCGGGTTGGGATGGTCTTGGAATTTCAGAATGTATTTTTTGCGCCGTGGTCTTGGCAGCGTGGCAGCAGGTTCATGGATTTAGAGCTTAGTGCTGTCTCCAGCCTGAGTAGACAAGCACTGTTGTCAGGCTCCGGTGGTGAATCTTGGGTCCATGCCGGAGAATCTCCTGGGCTCCCCTGTGCCTCGGTTGCATGTGGGACCCTAAACCCTAAACCCTTGTCCTGGACTTGTCCTGAATAGTGTAGGACATATGTCGGTTGCATTTGGGACCGCATCTGTGACGAGGTTTAAGAGCAGGCTTTCCGGACGTTCGGCAGAGCCTGAAGAGCCTCCTGCGTTAGGGTTAGGGATTAGGCAGGCCTGGCATGAAAGGCACACCAAAACTGGGGAAGAAATTTTTCTGCGAGTTCAGATAAGGCCAGAGCTTATGTAGGAGTCTAAAGAGCCCTGAGCGGCTTCTTTTGATTTTGAAAGCTCGGGGGCCAGGTTTATTGGCCATCTAAATCGACATGCGAGGGTCCACGGTGTCCTCATGACAGGTCAATGCCACGAACAGGCGCAAACTCAACAAATTTTCGGCTTTTGCGGAGGAACTTCCCAGTGTTGGCTCCCGGGATCATCGAGTTGGTGGGTGCAAGCCATGCGCCTTCCTCGTCAAAGGCTCTTGGGAGGGCCTGTCTCTGTGTGCCTCTCTGTGTATATAAACCTAAGGACCAAATTTACGCAGACGTATCTGTCCGTTTATTCAATTTCGATTCACCTCTTGAAGCTTTCCCTGGTGATAGGCTGCCAAAATGGCATTATGTGCAAGTTTTGCCACCTGTGCGACGCTGGCGAAAAGATGCTTGGATTGCCATATAGTAGGGCGTTGTGTGGACAGCTACCACCCTCTCAGAGCACTTGTGCCAACGGAACAGTCACAGCACTGCATTTTCCAGAAAATGTCTTCTGGAAGTTTTAGGCTTTCGGAAACTCCCATGTGATGAGTCCTCGACAACACTGCCCAGATCCGTCCCACCGATCACCTGTCTAAGCAGCTCAGGAAGCGCCGGCAAAAGGCGAAAAAAGCTGCCTTCAAAGCGGTGCAGAGGCCAGAGACGGTATTATTGTACACGATGACAGGGTGTGAGGCTTTGAGAGCAAAAGTTCACTTGACTTGTTCTCCAAATCTTGGTTGGCTTGTGACCATCCGGCTCGGAGAGACAATCGGGCTTGCTTCGTCTTGCTGCCATGATGTATCTCAACTACACCGTTTTTGAATTCTGGCATGGTGGTAGAACTACTAGGAAGAGCAGATCTAGACAGCTGTTATCCTGTTATCATGACTATTGTTAAAAGCTAAAGCTGTTAGGACTAGTACTAGCATTAGTGATAGTATTAGTACTAGTAGTAGTACTAGCTAGTACTAGTTAGTACAAGCATTAGTATTACTACTACTACTACTCCTCCTCCTCCTCCTGCTGCTGCCGCTGCCGCTGCTGCTGCTGCTGCTGCTGCTGCTGCTGCGACATTACATTCCTACTGCTGCTGCTGCTGCTACTACTACTACTACTGCTACTACTACTAGTAGTACGAGGCTAGAGCAGTTGTAGCAGTAGCGGCAGCAGTAGCAGCAGCAGCAGTAGCAGCAGCAGCATCAGCAACAGAAGCAGCAGGAGGAGGGGGCGGAGGAGAAGGAGTTACATACCAGTACCAGATATTCGTGGTAGCGGTAGTCTGCTGCTGCTGCTGCTGCTGCTGCTGCTTCCGCTGCTACATCTCTACTTTTGGCCCCCACTGTTGCCGGCAATTCAGAGCCGGGAAGCACAGTATCTCAGATGTATTCGCTGGGGTGTCAATGCTTGCAAGCTGAGGCATTGATCCAAAGACATCAGGTGAGCAATTGCTTCGGGCCCGGAGGAGCAGCTATGAGGCCTAAGGTTGGCAGGAGTTTCAGTTTCGGGTTTGCAGACTTGCAATTCGTTTTCGGAGCAGTGGCGATGAGTAGTAAGTTAGTAAGGGTTGTCAATTCAATTGCATTCAAGAAATTACCAACGGCTGCTGTGGGTACAGACGGATGGTAGTCCGACCTACAGGGCAGCGACGTGCTATGTCTGGGCGAACTCCCAACCTTCCAGGGAGTCAGCTTTGAGCTCGTTTAGGCTTGGGCTGTGGGGTTTCGGTTTCGGGGAACCTTCCTTGGCAGTGCCGACAGAGAGCTGAAACTCGAAACCATAGCAATCCCCTATCGCCTGCCTGGCAGCGCGACAACTTCAACCGCTTGCGAGGACTTTCTGAGCGACCGACCGTGTGCTAATTGATGGACCTAGCCTTTCCGGGGAAACCCTGCTCCTGACAAAATGTGACAGGTCGTGATGGAAATTTCCTATGCTGGGATCCCTTTCAGAAAGGCCTTTCACCTGTAAAGAGGAGTGGGCCGGGAATAGTTCTTCAGAGATATAGAGGTTCCAGCTTTTCCATGGTGGCGCAGACGGAGCATGGACTTCCCCTTATAGCCAATCCTGAATTCACAAAACTCATGGGATGGGACCGGAGGTCGTGCTTTTTTTCGGGAAGATGCTTTTGTATTTCGTGTTGCCCAGTTCCCATCTGCACATTCCGCAGCGTCTGACACCAAGCATCTCGTTCAAAGTGGCAGCAGCACTTAGGATAATAATGGACGAGACAGGTCTTGGATGCTAGCTGCTAGCAGTATGCCACCTGTCGAAGTCCTAGAAGCTAAGAACACAGAAACCAGAGTCCAGAATCTGCAAAGAATAGAGGACGGATGAGGTACGAAGTGAACAGCACCTAGACATAGACTGGCAGTTAGTTGTATGCGGAAGCCTTGCAAAACTCGTATTTCTTTCGCTGCGACGAGTCGAGGAGTCACAACCGTAAGCAGAATATTCGATACCAAGATGATTAGCAGCGAGTCGCAATGTTCCTCCATTACAGCCCTGCAGAGCTTTCGCAACGTTTATAACCGCAAAGCCCTGTTGTTGTGTTGTCTTTGCTACTGGTTCATTCCCCGATACTGCTGCATGCCAACGAGACTCTGCCGGCACTGGCTGTGCGGCCGTTTGTTGGGTGCCACCTGCAACAAAGCGAGTGCGGCAGGTGAAGACCAACGTGGATTAGGAGTAGCTTTAAGACCTGTTGCCTCAGATCGACAAAAGGATCAGCCGTTGTTACAAGCTGCGACGCCCTTGCCGCTGAGCTGACTCACCTTGTTCTTTACCTTAAGCTCTGCCCTAGATTTCTCAGAACCGGACCCAAACCAACTCCCGGAACTCATCTTCATAGAAGTGAGGAGATTGTGCACTTGACGTTGGTCTGCCTGCCAGCACGGACTGCCAAAAGTGCAGTAGATAGAATGCAGCATCGCAGACGAGGGGGTTCCGATGGGTTGCGGCTCTTTATCGAAAAGCTGTGCACCTGAGCAAGAACCAAAAGCGAACGAAGCCAAGACCGAACGAGGGATGTTTCTCGGCAGTGCCGGCAAGCCTGATGATGGCAGCCGAGGCGACGCCAAAAGGAGCTTGAACCAGAACCCACGAGTCTGCCAACGAACTTGCCGACGCACTCAACTGCAGTTCCTTTTTGAATCCTCGAGCAAGATAGACTTTGTTGGTCGGTCAGGATCCTTGTCCGCCATTCGCGGGTACTCAAAAAAGGAACTACGGTTTGGATCGCTTCAGGAATCATGCCCAGAAAGCCAACCTTTGGTGCCTCACGCCTTTAGAGAAAGACTCCCTGCTGGTTCTTATATGGGTTGTTTCAGCTGAAGGGTCCTGTAACACGTGCCGGCAAGCCCGACAGAATTGCGCAGCAGAAAGGTGTGGTCCTGAAGCCCTGCCATTGAGTCTTGGATTCAACGCTCATATGTTCCCTCCACGCGAGGAGGTGGTGACTGCTTGTGCCTTCTCGTTGTGGCTGCTGCACTGTTGCTGCGTGCTTCAAGGGGCTTTGGCCTCATGTGGAACGGGCGAAGGTCAGGTCTCAGGGTAGCCAGTCGACCAGTGCATGTGTTGCAGTTTTGCAAGACGGTGTGAGGGCATGTCATCGACTGCCTTGCTTTTCTGGCAATTGATCTCATCCACCGTTGTAAGAAAGGCACCCAACATCTCTTTTGCATCTGGACTCCAAAAATTACAGTGTTGTCGTTCCTGAAAAATCACAAGGTCGCTGATGAGGGCAAACCTGTACACCACAAAGTATGCCCACAGATATACACCTGCGTGCACTTGTACGTGTCCTCTTCCGCACGCACACGCTGACACGACCTCCCACTTGCTTGCCTGTTTCTTGTCTGGTGGTGTAAAAAACATGCGTGGGTCTGTGTAATTAGAGTTGCTCGACTCATAGATATCTAGCATTCTAGGTAGGTAGATAGGATGGATGAATGGGTAGAAAAAAGGCATGTCCGTTGTCTATTTTCAAAGGTATGCATGTACATGTGTACCCGGGTGGGCCCATGTCGAAGCAAATCTACGCAGATGTATCAAGTATCGCAACATGCCACCTCTTCTTAAAGAGTTATGCGCCGCCGAAGCATCAGCAGCTTGTGAAGACAGCAGAGAAGCTCAACTGCTACAGCCTGGGTTCGTTGGGACGGAGCTTGGCGGTACACGCCTGGCAATGCCCGAACCTTTGTGAAGAACACTGGAGTTGGCAAAGGCCATGGTTGACATCATGACATTACTGTGATGCTGATTTCGGTTACCATGTGCACACTCGCCATCTGCACTATCGCTGGTTGACATAACGCAGACGTGAGATCTAGTGGCCAGCAATTTGCGAATGGGAGCTTTGAGGTGGCAATTGGACAGGTTGGTGCCTGAACCCCTGTAGTGCTGGGATGCTTTGAAGAGAGAGGCAGAGAGACAGAGATTTGTCGTTGTGTTTACACATACAGGGAGGGCGCGCGGCGGAGAGAGAGAGAGAGAGAGATAGAGAGGTCTCTCCTCCACCTTTTACCCTTGCGAAAGACGGAGACAGAGAGAGGCGCACATACTGTCATCCCGGCGAGTGCAGTGGTTTTACCGGGGCTTGGCTTCTAATATACATACATACAGGCATATAGAGACATACAGACGTACTACATGTGCATTTGTAAGCGCAACCGCCTGCCAAGTCCAGACGGTTTTTCCTGAGATTGGGCCTCGACTGGTTGTCTAGGCCAGGCGCGGGCGGCACGGGCCCAGGTCGTAAGAGGAGGTGAAGTTGTTTAAGGCAAGCCTTTCCGTAAAGAGCAGGTTGGCCGGCCAGGGAACTCAACAACTAGGAAAGCGTACCGCTGTGAGAGGGACAAGGAGTCCACGCAATTTTTGCAAGTATCCGGTCTCCGTTCTTGCTGCAGGTTGCAGGTGGCAGCGCTGCCAGATCTTGCTTTAGACAGGCCTCCCACGAAACTGCCTTGATGAAGCTCGCACTTCTTAGACAAGGTGCTAATACTTCCTGTAGGGTGATTGGGAGTCCGTAATGTATATAGGTATATGTTCTACCAATGTTGTTCCCAGGGCCCCTGGGTTCTTATGTTAGAAGTAGACATACTCCCCGCCATTAATAAAGGCGACCATATCACCTTCCAGCTGAGTGTTCAGCCGGCCCATTTTTCGGGGTCCGCTCCAGTCCCCGAGCCTCGAGCTTTCTTGTGCTTTACAGCTTCGCCGCTTTTAACAGTATAGGTTGAGGGTTTGGGGGTTTAGGGTGTACCTTAAGTTGTACCACAGAACTGTGCTAGTTTCAGAAAGCAGGGGACCGTAATCAAATTACACGAAAAAGTGGGATCAGCCGAATTATAAGGGCCTGGAGGTACGTACTATGATTCCACGAATGGGCTTGGATCACAGAGGCTTAAAAGCCTCGACAGCCCGTCGTGGCCCAATCGAGCAGATCGAGCCAATGAGCTGATACATCCGTCCTGCCAGACGGGAGTCTCTCACAGGTTAACCCTCATGCACAGCTCAAAAAGTAGGATGTGATTTGGGTTATGACTGTAAGGTAGGCACGCTCTAGACACCTGCTGTGAGGCTCTTCTCCTTTATCTTGCCTGGCACTTGCTGGGCCACGGGTCATAAGCTCTGTTCGGTCCGGCACTTTGCCTGTGCTGGTGCTGACCAGGAATCGAACAGGACCCTCCAGCAAGTTATGACAAGGTGCATGCTTTAGTCAGTCTCATGACGTTAGTGTTATCACTCCCACAAGATTAATGCGTCAAAATGCCGTGGCTGCTGTGACCATGCTGTTCAGCGTGTTTTCTTATTGGATCAGACCT